CTCGAAAACGAGGCAGTCTCTGACTTGAAGAAGCTGAAAGCGAATGGTTGGTGTCAGGATGTACGGCAGGAATGCGGAGGGTACGGAAACATCTTTGGGTATCATTCGCAAAACTACATAATCTCATCCCCAGCGTCCTTCTCGCCTCGCACGTCGCTGCTGCTGCTCTCGCCACGGACAACATCAAGCTCGTCCCGCAACTTCTCCGTCAACTTCTCGATAATCCACTCGCACTCCTCTAGGCTCCCCATCAGCGGCGACTGCGACCCGACCCACGACCACTTGTCTTCGTCAGGGCACTCCATATCCTCATCGCGCACCTTCCTCCGCCTGCTCCTCTTCTTCTTCTTGGAGTGGATGTGCGGACGAGCCTTGCGGTGCGTGGCCGAGCTGCTCTCGTCCTCCCCAATCAGCTTCAGGTACCACGCCCACTCGGCGAACGAGTACTTCTTCGGGGGCTTCTGCTTGGAATGCTGGCGGACGGCGGCTATCTCCGAGATGAGCAGGAAGTGGTACTCGGCGCGAGAGGACGGCAGCGGTGCCGTGGGGTCGCGAACGCGTGACTGCTGCCGGCCTGAGGTGGGATCGGGGACGGAGGAGTAGGCGTCCGTGTCGTTGTCATCCTCCTCGGAGCTGCCCTGCTCCAGCCGGTGGGCATTTCCAAGGAAGCCCGGGGGCAGCTCGTCTTCCTCGTCCATAAGCGGCCCTTTGAATATCACGCCGCAGGTCCATCGGTCCAACAGAGCGAGGAGCTCCTTGCGGAAGCCCCGTTCTCCCGGCAGGATGGTCACGTTTCCGAGCTCGAGCGTGGCATCGCGGACGGCCTTGACGACGGTGTCTCCTGCGTTTGAAATCATGACCGTCATCGTCGGCAGCGCCAGAAGCGACCAAAAGACGAAGAACGCCTTGCCCGAATTAGAGACAGGGGTGCGGTCTCCGTAGCCAATGGTGGTCAGTGTGACAAAGGCAAAGTAGAAGCCCTCAAAGTAGGACCAATTCTGGTAGGGGCGTTCGCACTCCTGGAAGATCTTGGCGCCGACGAGCCAGAGAATGAGCCAGGACGAAAAGGAGATGGACATGGCCATCCAGCGGCGCCGGACAGAAGCAGAATCTTGGATCTTGCGCATGAGGTTGAATTCTTCCTGGCGACGCTCGAACTCGGTGGCCGGCAGCGGTGAGGCATCCGATATGGGAGACTCGACGTTGGACGGGATGGGCTTGAGGATGTCGTCTTTCCCTTTGCGAGTCATTGTGCGGATCAGCTGCCGGCGCTTCTTCTCGACCATGCGCGCATCCAGTCTGCGGCGGCCGCGCTCAAGAACCAAGCTCCGGATGGAGCCGATGACTAGACCGAGGCTGATGACACCGATGAGGGCATAGGGGATGAGCAGAGCTCTCCCAAGGGGTGAGGCGGCTGCAAAGTCGCCGAAACCGACTGTGAAGAGCGTCACGTCGGCCCAGTAGACAGCATCGAGGTAAGACCAGTCTTCGATGGTGGAGAATACGAGCGCGCCGAGGAGCAGATAGAGGAGGAAGAGGATCGTCTGCAGCATGAGGGTACGCTGCGCGGTGGTGAGTTGAAAGTCCTCTGCGTAGTGGCGGGTGTAAGCGCCGTACACGGTGACGACCATGAGGGAGGCGGTGACGAAGTAGAGAATGGCTGCGAACATGCCATAGTAGAAGGCCTGGGAGTTGATGTACTCCTCTCGCGGTTCAATCACGAGTGGTCCCGAGGCAGTGGCGTTGAGGGCGATGAGGCAGATTGCCGAGAGATACCAGCCCACGATGGTAATGGGCTGGGCCAGGGAGAAGCGGACCCGGCGGGCCATGTTCAGCAGGAGGAATACATTCGAAACGATGGCGATGGCCAACTGGATGGCATTGACTATGATGAGCCTGGTCGTGTTAGAACACTCCTGAAGTATGGGAGACTGCACCGACCATTTTGGATCCGGAACAAAGGTAGCGGCATCGATATCGGTTCCTGGCGGGAAGTGCTGCCGCCAAGGGCGAACGAGAGCGCATATACTGAACGCCGATGCAACGGGGCCAAGGGTACCGGCGATCATGGGGAACGCGGAAGACGCGAACCACCAACGGCTACGCAAGTCAGCGACGGAACAGATACTGTGATGCCAAGGCCGTGTACGATGGACACTTACCTCGGATCCAAGTGGGCATCGTCATTCTGGAAGCGCTTGTCTCGCTGGGCCTTGGCCTGCTCCGACTGGGCAACGCGCTGCTCGATGTTGTCCCCCAGATCGGCGTCGTTCATGGTGCCGGCTTGCGGAGAGGTTTGTGGCCAAAATAAGCGGGTTCAAAGCGGCGGAACCACCAAAACGAAGGCATTCCCGGATGTGGTCCAAAAACCGCTTCTAAGCAGAAACGACGGCGAGATTGTCCAGGGCAATGCTACCCAAAATACATGGACGTACAAATTCAAGGGATGAGTGCTTCGAAAAAGGCGAGGCGTCACTCGACCTCGAAATCAAGGTCTTGGCCCGGCCGGACCTCTAGACCCGACGTACCCGGGTTCCCCCCGAGGGAAGATGGTGGTACAATGCGCTTCGGCGATGACGTCGGCTCGTGGTCGTGAGGGTGTGCAGCTCAGATGCTAGGTTAAGACGGCCGGGGCTTTCTTAGCGAACACGGGGCTAGACGGATTCGATGATCGGGGACGTGGAGTCGGGTGCGAGCGCAGACAGACATCGACATGTCGTCGAGAGTGCAACCCGTGCTTGGCGAGCATCCTTTATATGTATCTTGCCCCCAGACTCTGCCAAACTCGTGAGGAATGGAAGATCAGGTTACCCATGCATGCAGAAACGAGCTCATGATTGCTGCTCCATTCGTGTGCGAGAGAATAGCGCGCGTTGCTTGGCCGCCGGTGATGCCACGCGCTGCCCTTTACAGCGTCTTAGCGGTTTGCTTGAGCGCGCTAATGAAGGCCACGGGGGACCCTTGGCGAGAGCGACGGCGGGGATGTGGGGGGCTGCGGCGGTGCAGCACACCAGGACGGAATGGCCACTGGCTGGCCAGGCCGCTCGCTGTCAGGGGGTCGCAAAAACGCGTTAGGGTGTGCTGGCGAGCGCCTCGTCTACATCTTGCATCCGTTGTTGGTGAACCGATTTCAGGAGGCCTGTCGATATGGAATGAGGAATTGGGTCTCTGATCCCACGCCGGCTCTTATTTTTAGACAATGAGAAGATGGTCGAGACTGTGGCTACCGTGTCGTCTCCCACGTGTCCAACGGCGATGCTTCCACTCTGAGCAGACCCTTGAGGACTCTGTCGAGGTGCCGATCGGCTCGTCTGGCAGCATCACAGTAGAGTATGTCTTTCAAAAAAGCTCGAGATCGTGTCTGACAAGCCCAGCCTTCACAATGTCGTGCGGCAATCCTCTTCAGCGCCTCTGATGATATACATACCACCACACTCGCCACTCCCGGGCACTCACCCCTCCGTCCCCGGGTTCCTTCACCCATACCCGACCGCCGTCATCAACTACCGATGGTCCGCCACGGACTCCACTCCCCCGGACGCATCGGGGGAGCCCAGCTTCACCACGCCCCTGCAGTGGCCCACGCCTATCCATGACATCCTGGCCGGCTACACCTGGATCACCGAGAACCTTCGCCCGGACAGCACCGCCCGCCGGGACCTCTACGTCTACAGCTCCCACGCCGGCGCCAGTCTCGCCGCCTCCCTCGCCCTGACCGAGTCTCACCACCACGAACGCGTGGCCGTCCGCGGTCTGGTTGCCTGGAACGGCATCTACAACTGGTCCATGTTCCTCCCAGACCACCGCATCAACAAGCCCGCAACCCCGCGCGGCCGCAAACTCCCCTCGCGGCCGAAGGAGGGCTCGGCGCTGTATGCCCTGCAGATGGAGATGACCGATCTGTTCAGGAAACCCGCGGACCTGTTTGACAGTTTTGTAAGCCCCAGTCTCTTCTTCCAGACCTCGGGGATGCTTCCGCCGTCCACGTTCACCCAGGCAGCCGTGGTGACGGAGATGCTGGATCGCATGTCGTCTTTGACGTCTGGCGGGAGTGTCAGTGATCTTCTGGCCGCGACAGGGAGTGCATTCACGGCGCCGAGGCGGAGCGCGCTCATGTTTCCCCCAAGAAAGTCCACGCTGAAGCTGCCGGCGTCGTTGTTGCTTCACGATAGTCCACCTCTGCAAACAACGAAGAGGGGAAAGCGCAGGGCCGCGGGACACACGTTCGAAGCCCAGGCGTCGGAGTTGGCCTCGCTGATGAGGAAAAGCTTGGAAAAGCTGGAGTTCAAGTCGCGATTGCAATGGGATGAGGACTTTGACGCCGAGACCGAAGCAGAACGGCGGGTCAAGCTGGTGGACGTTGGAGATAACGAGTACTTGCAGCTGGGGGAGCGTGGTCAAAAAGTCATCACAAGATGGTTGGAGGACAGATTCGAATCGTGATACCCATTCCACTCTTCGTACTCACTCCTGAATCAAATCTGATTAAACAGTGCTGGTGCCGTGTCACGCAAATAGGCTCCATTGTGAGCCCTTGGTTGTCCAACTGATACATCACACAAGCTCGTACGTCCAGGCGAAACACATCACATAAGCGTCAGGTCTAAGGGTATCGATACTATCATTAAGTTTATGAATCCGCTGGAGCCATACTGCCCCACGCTGCCTCATCTAAGGCCAAGACGAACCCAAACCCAGGGCTGTCCAAGCCTCCCAATAGAATACAAACTTTTGTACAAGCGCTACGGGCGTCAATGCCGGTAGCAAAAGTCATACACAAAATCGTTACAAACGTTGGGGCCAAATTCCCCGTATCTGCTTCGTTTCATCGCTTCATGAAGATGGCAGGATGTGCCAATATAGACGAATCACCACATCGCTCGTCCGGCACCTGCCAGCATGTCCACCACGGTTCCAACGACTCCAACCCCCAACATGAGAGTCTGAATCGTCACGGCCAAAACAATCCTTTCCACGACTCCCATCAGCTCTACGGCTAGTCATCTGCTTCCGAGCAGAATTCTGCGGTTGCGCTTGATGGCCTGGTTGAGATTCTTCTCCAGCTTTTCGGTCTCCTTGCGCGCCAGGGCGAGGGCGGCCTCGGCATCCTCGACGCTCATGAGAGTCATGCTGTTGAGGGGGGTGCCGGGGAGCTTGGGGTGAGAGCTGTGCTGGGCGTGGGCCTGCGCGGCAGCGGCGGCGGCGGCAGACGCGGAGGCAGCGGACACGGAGATGTTGGGCATGGGGGCGACGGCGTGGTGCGGGGATTCGAGGCCTCCGAACGGCGTCTCGTCCTCGGGGATGTCCTTGCCGGAACCGCCACTCTCAGCAGAGTAGATGCCCGCGCCGGCGGCAGCGTCGTGTCCGTAAATGTAAGGGGCCAGCGAGTTGAGGCTCTGGGCGGCGGTCTCGCGCGCAGAGAGAGCGTCCTTGGCACCCGGGGCCGACTTCCAGCTGCCGGGGAACAGGTTGGTGTTGCCGAGGTTGAGGCGAGGCAGGACGTATTGGTTGATGTAGCTGATGGCTTCCTCGCGCTGGATCTTGTTCACGGGGTCGTCAGAGAACATCTTGTGGGAGGTGGGGGGAGGGGGGAAGTAGGACGGCGCTCCGTTGGGCACCGCGCGACCCTTGATGAGGGAGAAGCCGCCAGGGCGAGTCTGGTGGCGGGGCGCGACGAAGCTGTCAGGCTGGTCGCTGGTCTCAGCAATGCTCTTCTGGAGCTCGAGGTACTTCTCCTCCTCTTCTTCGGTCAGGTTGCGGACACAGTCACCATTGGGGGTGATGAGCACGCGTTGACCCTCAATCACCTTGCGCACCGGCTGCCCGGACAGGAGCACGGCGTGGTCTGCGTCGTTCACAATACCCTTTGTTGTAGTGGAAGGAGGCGGGTTGGTTCCTTGGGCAGCGTGCGCGCGGTCGAGACGGATGTTCTGCTCAATAAAGGGTCTCAGCAAACTGAGAACCTCCTCAGGAGGAGCTTCACCGCTGCTGACAAGGTCGTCATAGACAACCTCGGGGATGGTCTTGGGGTTCTCAGCCATGTCCTGGGACTCCTCTGGCGCGGCAGTAGCAGGAGGTGTAACTGGAGAGGCAGCAGCAACAGCAGCAGCTTCCTTGGCCTTGCCCTTCTCCTCTGCAGCCTTGGCAATCTTGAGGGCGGCTTTGGCGGCCTTGCCCTTGGGAGGAGGCAGGTCGACGACCGTCCGCTCGATGGGAGGCTTGGGGACGGGAGGCTCCTCCTTCTTGGGGGGCGCCGGGGGTTGGGCAGCACGCTCCGCAGCCTTCTTGGCGGCAGCAGTCGTGTTGACCGGCTTCTCCTTCTTCTGCTTCTTCTTGCGGCCGAGAATGGGCGCAATCTCCTCTGGCTCCGCCTGCTTCGCCGCCTCGGCGACGGCCGCGGACTGCTCCTTGTGAGCCTCCTTGCGTTGTTTGCGCTGTTGGCTTTTTGTAGCTGTGCGCACAGGAGCAGCACCGACTCTGGACGGAGGGGGCGAGCTGGTTCGAGATACAGAGACGGACGTGGACACGATGGACGCGCTGTCACTGATGGCCTCGCTCGCAGGGGTTCCAGGTCGACCAGAGGCGGTGGAAACGGCTCTGGCGGCGGCGGAGATGGCACCTGAAACCAGCGGAGGCGGAACTTCGGTCTTGGGTGTAGGAACGACCCGCAACGTCTTGGGTGCGGTTCTCGTGATGGGCGAAGCGACGGCTGTTGTGGGGGTTGGCAGGGCTGGGAATGCAGCCGAGTCTTGCTCCGTCGATGCAGACTTTGCAGACTCTGCGGGCTTGGTCTGGGCAACCTTTGTGGCGGCGGCAATGTTCAAGATGCCCGGCACTGGCTTCTTCTCTGCCGCCTTGGGCGTCGGGGTGGGAGGCTCTGCAGCAGGCGCGGGAGGCTCTGCGTGGGGCTTCTTGATGCTCGCTGGGGCGATCTTCGGCGTCGAGACGACAGACTTGGCCGGCGTGCCGGGTCGTTGAGCGTTGGCCTTAGCAGCGCTCGCCTTGATGGCATCCAGAGCGGGAAAGTCTTCCTCCTGGAGAAGAGTCTTGCCCTTGGACGGGGAACCCTGAGAGGCGATATCCTTTGACAGCCCACTCTCAACGGCCAGAGCCTTGATGTTCTTCTTGGCCTCTGAGCCAGGGGCATTCTTGCGAGGCTTGACGTCGGGTGTGGCTGCCCGAACGACGTTGGCCATCGTGGGCGTGGCCTTGGGAGCGGTCGGAGCGCCCGGCGTAAGAGGAACGGCAGGAATCGGTGCCTGGCGTGGCGCCGGCGACGCCAACCTTGCGGGAGTCCCGAGACCTGGAGGCGTCGGTACCGTGGGCCTTGAGAGCCCTCCATAAGGTGGCATGGGGTCATCAGACACCAACGCATCAACCGAAAAGGTGGCTTCGTCGAGTGAAAGCAGCTCGTCATCTAGGGAACCAGTTAGCCAAGGTTCCCTAGAGCCATGAAGGTCGCAAAAGCAAAAAAGCCGCAAAAACGGGAAACACATATGTACATGCGGGAGGTCAAGTCACGGCTGCCATCATCGTCTTCTTAGCGATCTGCGGGTGGAGAGCGAAATATGTGCGCAAGATATAGTATTTGTCCTTTAGCCACCTCCCATCCTCGTCGCCGGAGGATGGGCTGCAAGTTAACGTACATTGGGCGATTGGAAGACGATGATGGCTTGCCTGACTGTCGTGACCCCATAAACCATGACATGCGAGTCCAAAAGAAAAGAGGTATAATGTCGGGGCGATTGTAGGTGTCGGTCCAGCCCCTAAACGCGAGACGACGCCAAATGCAACCCTTGCCACTCCCCTGAGCGGCCCTGATGTTTTTTTCCGCAATGCTCGCTGAATCAATGCGTGTAAAGTGCGGTTGTTCCCGGTCCCTCGAGGACGGTCGTCCGCTGATGTGCCGCGACGCCCTCCCTCTCATGATACATGAATGTGTAAAACAAAAATCCCTTGAACGACCAACACCGCCCCAGATCTATCGCGCTCCCTCCCGGCTTCACCAGCCGGCGCCAGGGAAACGCGTATTGTACATCATGTTCGGGTTGTACCCACCTTGGCTCTGACCACCGAACAGTCCCTGTCCGACTCCGGCGTTGCTCTGCGACTGGTGTTGCATTCTCGCTTGCAGGATACTCGGGTCCGCAAGATCAACTAGGCCACCTCCCCCAGAGGAGGAAGTGTTAGCATGTCTGTGCTTCTTCCCCTTCTTCTTCTGCTTGGGACCGAAGTCTTGGAATGCTCCAGGCTGGTTACCGTAGAGCGACGCCAGGAGGCCCGAAGCAGGAGCTGGGGTGGAGGAGGTAGAGGATGGGTACTGATTAGAAAAAGAAGATAACATGTACTCACGCTTACCAGCATCATGGCCCTGACCATTGGCTCCTCGGCCCCGGATCAACGTCTGAAGAAGCTCGGCAGAATCCTTGGACTGATTGAAGCTGCCACCGAACGAGTGGCCCTGTCCAAACATGCTTGGCGGAGTGCCCGTCGACTTGAGGCCCGGAGGAGGGCCGGGCATGGACGACGCATAGTACTGGCTGCCGGGCTGCGTTGGGAATGTCGAAGGCATCATGGCCGTCTGCTGCGCCATGATGCGAGGGTTGGCGGCCACCTTGACCGAAGCGGACGTGCCCGCGCTGTCGTTAGCAAAGCTGAACCTCGATCCCTGTCTGTTGTGGCCGTTGCCTCCTTGCTGCTGCTGCTGTTGCTGCTGCTGCACCGAAGGCTGTACGGTGGCGATACCAGGCGGCAGGTGATCGCCAAAGCCGTTCTGGGAGCGGATGAAGAGCTGCTGCTGGGGGGTCATGGAACGGCTGCCGGCAACAGAACCAGAAGTGACAGAGGCCTGGCCGAAAGCCGAGCCGAGCGCCGGGCCAAACAGGCCGTCGGTGTTGGTGCGCTGAATCGGAGGCTGCGTACCGGGTCTGCGCTGCTCAAACGCCGCCTCTCTGCTGACGTCACGGTCTTCGGGCTCGCCGCCGAGGGCGAGGCTACCGCCGGTCTCAGGCTCACCCTCAGAAGGCTCCTGTGCCTCGCTCTGCTGCTCCTCGACACCAAGGCGTGACTCCTCCTCCTCGCGCATCGCTCGGCGCTTCTCGCCACCACGGAGATCGAACATGGGCGGGTAAATCGTCTCGAGCGAATTCGTGTCGGGGGCGTGATAGGTGAACGGGCATCCTTGCATGGCCATGAGGAGCGTCTTGAGCACCGTCTCGGGAAGGCTGTTTGGCTTCTTAATCTCAGCCTTGGGCGCCACCATTGGTGCCTTGCTCTCAGTCGGGGGTGCGGGGGTCTCCTTTCTTGACGGCGTCTCATCAATGGCCTCCGGTACTGCCTCGGCGGTTGCGGGGAGCGATGTCGAGATGGCGGGACTAGAGGCGGCACCGCTCGTGGCGTGGCTTCCTCTGCGACTGCGCTGAGGATTCCTGGCCCAGTTAGCCGACGAGGGAAGCGCCGAGCCATCACCGCCGTTTTCGGATCCCTCTTTACTCGACGAGCGTGCCATGGGTTGCGACATGGTGGGAGCGGGGGTGTTTTGCTGTCGAGAAGCAGACCGCGAGGGGCCGCCACCGCTGTTTCCACCGCTGTTTGATGATCCACTAGCCAGGGGCCGCTGCGTTTGCGAGCTGATGCTGTTCATCGATGATAGGTCCTGCCGAGTGTAGCTGTCCTCCTCGTCGCCGAGCTCGTGCAGGAACATGCATTGTCTGTTTGTGCACTGCTCGTGTCGCAGCCAGGCGGAGCAGTACTTGGTCGTACCGAGCTGAGCTCTAAGCACACGGTCGCCGTTCTGGGATCCGTTGACGGCCTGGATGCACCGTTGTGCGTCCTCCTTCTTCTCGAACGTCACGTAAATGCCGAGTGATTGGTTTTGGCCGTCCTGGCTCTTTCGGTTGCTGATCGAAATCTTCTGAATGTTGCCGTACTGGCCAAAGAATTCGGGCTTGCGCAGCGTCTTGAGCAGCTCGTCCTCTCGCACTGTAGGTGTCAGACCGGTCACGTAAACCAGGTTCTTCTGAACGACCCGCACGCCGACGAGGTTCTTGCGGTTCTCCTTTTCGGCCTCGCGTTTTTGAACCTCCTTCTGTCTTTGTTCTTGAGCTCGCTTCTTCTGATTCTTTTGGATGTTGGCTCTGAACTGGGCGACCCTAAAAAATGGTTATCAGCGTGACGTCGCTAGGCAGGGTGGGGAAGGAACGCACTCTTCTTGAGTGACGACCTTCCACTCTATCGTCTTCTCATCGTAAGGTCTGCGGCAAGCGGGACACAGGCCGTTCATGTTGTTCTTGATGTTGTTGAAGCAAAACTGGCACACCTATGAAACTGTTAGAGATCGGCCTTTGACGATGGAAAAAAATGTAGCATCGGGAAATCGGGCGGCATACCTGGTAGCCGCATGGGCACGGTCGGAAATTCCGATCTGACAGGTCGAACTCCTCGATGCATAGCGGGCTGGGAGGCAAGTTAGTTCGTGGTGCCTAACTGCAGGCGTGCGGCCATCGCGAACGGCGCGCAATGACGGCAGGGGTCGACATACCAGGTATCTTCCTCCTCGTCGAAGAATGTGTCTTGGGGCGCCATGGTGACAGTCTGCGGGGGGTAATGATGTGTTGCGGGAGGGTAGTCGTCGATTTGTGAGTGGAGGTAGTCAGGAGAGGGAAGTTGTTCAATACGGATGAAGCCAAAGCCTTTCTCGGATGGGTCGCCTGCTGCACTAGTGCCTTAGGTAAGCCGGCCGATGTGAGGCAGTCTCACGTGATATTGGAGGCGCCCGGAGCCAATGACAACACTCTGAATGAGGCGAGTCAGCAGCTGCTAGGCACACCCTGTCCGTGGATAGCGGCAGTAAGTGATGGTAGAATGAAGGACGAAGGTGTGGAAAGGGTAGGATGGTGTTGCGGGAAATTTTGTGAAAGAACAAATTCACAAGGTGGTTGTTGTTTTTTGAATTTGTGAAAAGGTAAAGTCTTTTCGAGGGTCTGCGTTTGTTGTTGAAAAAAAAAAAGTCCTTCGAGGCACGTCAGGTACTGAGAGAGTCTGGTGAAGCAAACAGCGAGCTAACCCCACCCGGGGTGTGCCTAATCCGGCTAGCTTCTTTCAATCCCCAAGCATCGCAGAAGCACAGCATCATCAATCAACTCCCACAGAGGCATCGAGCCCCCCAGCATTGCAAGAACCGCGACAATGGCGACGAGGCTATACCGTAGCAGGGCTCTGGCGGGCTTGCGCAACTGCCGCCCTACCGAGATTCGATGCTTCTCGACCTCGATCCCTCAATTGGCCGGCTTCCCGACCGGCCAGCCCGACGTCGCGGACGTCAGGAAGTCTCCTCGCGAGCACATTGGCACCCTCAAGGCCCCCCTCGTCAACCCTGCCGACAAGTACGGCTCCAAGGCTGAGAACATGCACAAGTACGGATCCTGGATCATGGGCTGCCTGCCCAAGTACGTCCAGCAGATCTCCGTCTGGAAGGACGAGCTCACCATCTACGTCTCTCCCTCGGGAATTATCCCCCTCTTCTCGTTCCTGAAGTGTAAGCGCCAATTGGAGGTGGTGTTGCGGATCACTGCTAACACGACACAGACAACACCTCGGCCGAGTTCACCCAGATCAGCGACATCACCGCTGCCGACTACCCGACCCGAGACCAGCGATTCGAGGTCGTCTACAACCTCCTCAGTGTCCGCCACAACGCCCGCATCCGTGTCAAGACCTACGCCGACGAGGCCTCCCCTGTCCCCAGCGTCACCCCTCTCTTCGACGGTGCCAACTGGTACGAGCGTGAGGTTTACGACCTGTTTGGTGTCTACTTCACCGACCACCCCGATCTCCGCAGAATCATGACCGACTACGGTTTCGAGGGCCACCCCCTGCGAAAGGACTTCCCCCTCACCGGCTACACCGAGATCAGATACGACGAGGAGAAGAAGCGCATTGTCACTGAGCCTCTCGAGCTCACTCAGGCGTTCCGCAACTTTGAGGGCGGCACTAGCGCGTGGGAGCAGGTCGGAGCCGGCACGGACAGACGCCCGGATAGCTTTAAGCTGCCCACACCGAAGCCGGAGGAGAAGAAGGAGGAGCCCAAGAAATAGATCAGAAGGTCCTGATGTGTATATAACTAACCGCGCTAGAGTCCTTTTGTACAACCATTTCGCGTTGCACTGTTGATGTGTGCGTGTGAAATCTCAGGCTATGGCTTACCTTTCAGTTTGTGACATGCAAAGAGGTTACACAGTCATTCGATCTGTCGGTTGGTCGCATACGGGAAAAGGCAATCCTGCTTCTCAAGGTCATCAGTTGAAGCTTCGTCTGGTCAATTGGTCTCATCGCCGTGTGGTTTCGGAGCGTCAGTGCACTCGGGAATCAGGCCCAGCAAGGTAGAACGCTTAACCTAAGCTGTTGAACTTTTATCTCAATTGTCTTTTGCTACTGGCTAGGCAAGAGGGTAGAGTTGTTTCTGTTTTGTTCTTCCTTTTTCGTTTTTTCTTTTTCACTTTTGACCTTGCTGCGCTCCATTCCACCTTTTTGGCTGATGCCTCTCTTGCGGACACTTTGACGGGTTGGATGTTGCTTTGACGCTGAGGAACACCGAGGACTTCCCCATACATACCGTGAGGTCTAACCACACCATCTCGGTCCTCAAGTTGTGTCGGGTATGCATACACTTTCAGCAACTGTCAGTGTGCCGTGTCAGTGAGAAAGTCAGTGTAAAGTGAGTCCATGTCCGGCCAGCTTTGGATGGTATATAATACCGCAATTTGTCCCAAATCCTCCGTGACAGCTCTTCATTCTCTTCATCATCCGTACACGAATTTCTTGATTTCAACATTTTCTGACTTCCGCTTCTTCACTTCACATGACTACTTTGCCGAGCTTCGTTAACATCAACAAGATGTCTGAATTTTCTGTTCCCCGTTCTGAACTTCTCTCTAGCGCCCAGCTCACAGAGCTTAGACGCGAGGCCAAGGATCGCTACTACATACAACACATTTGCGACCTTTCTATCAACGATGTCGACCTCGAAGACTTTGTTAATGACTACGTCGAGGCTCACTACAGAGCGATGGCCAAGGCTGCAATAGCACCAGTCGCTTCTGACGCCTCGACGAAGACGGAGTCCAAGTTTAGACGTCTTCTGCGCCGTATCAGTGGTAAGCAGACATTGGGGAGTGACTAGATGTCTTCCATTCACTAACACTGCGAAGGTGCGCAACTCCGGCCGGCCCCTGCGATTTGACGGGCATCCGAGACTCAGTTGACCTGAGGATTCTCCATGAACCTCCTTTGACAAGAATGTACGGCGACAAGGGTACCAGACATTCCAAAGCCATGAAGCAGGTTCCCTTCTTAAACAACTACACCTTAAACAACACTACCTTGACGGTACACGACTTGACGACTTACGGCCTGCGTTCCATGATCTACGACTTATGATTTACGATCTCTAATTTACGACTTATGACTTACGACTCACGATTTATGACTTACAACTTACGAATCACGATGCACGAGTCCACGCAAGGTTTCTCAGGACCGGTCTCACGACTCATCAACACAAAACAGAGCTCACTACACAACAACAAATTCATGACTCTGGTCTAGGAGACACTCTCATTAATGAAAGGATAAAAGGCTGCCTTCATGAGCCAGTCAGGAGCTGCGCAAACATGAGGGTGGCCTGAAGAAAGGCTCGGCCTAGGAGCTAATGGGATTATGAGATAATGGCATGATGAAATTATGATCAAGTATCAATCAGACCCTGATGGTCTGACAATCAACACTCTTGGGCACGTCTGATTCAAGTCGTTCTCTCTGGGAGATGCGACTGCTGGCTACAAGATCGACATTGCCGTGGAGGGAGGGGATGAGCTGCGCCCGTTGGTAGATGCGGCACATAGACTAGAAATTCCAAGTAATTAATACCCCTCCAATCAATGAGCCTTAGTTCATTATGCCGAATATCGAATGAAATAAAGTCAATTCGTCTCATGATGTATCAAACCAAAAATTGTCGCCGTCGTGATGCACCTACTGGAGGACCCCGGCTCAGTGCCCCGCTATTTGCATGTGATGTCACTCCCACACGCCACCACGCGTAAAGCGATTGCACCCACACGCGACGCGACCTCAACGCCGCACAGGGACTAGACGGCATGCACATCGCGGGCTGACATCTCCTGCGCACCCAAGAACTCGTCGAACATACCCGGACGATTGACTATCCGGCATAGATTCGCCGTTTCGTGACGACGACGCCCAACATGCCAGCGCAAACTCGCTCCGGCGGCCGGGCTCCTGCTGCCCCTCCCGACCGAGTCTACAAGTCCAGCAAACCACTCAAGCAGGCCAAGCTCCCCCATCGAAAGACCGAAGTCCGCACCTACAGCGCCCGCAAGCCGACCGCGCGAGTCACCAGTCATAAGCAAAAGACGTTGACCCAAATGTACGAGTCTACGCGCTCCTCGCCTGTGCATCTCGACTTGTCAGATGACGAGGAAGAGCCCGCGCCCAAGAAGAAGAGGAGAAAGACGATGGGGGATGAACCAACCCCGAGTTCATCTTTCCACACGCAGACATTAACGCAGATGTCGCGGAGGTCGTCGGAGAAATCACCCGAGGAGGAGGAAGACATTTGGCAGTTCCAGCCGTCCGACGACGAGGTTGAGAAGCCGGTCCTCCCTTCAGCAAACGACAAGGAGAACGTTCTCCCTGTAAAGAAACCTACAAGCAGGCAGCCATCCGTCGTGCCGCAGACCCCAACCAACAAGCGGACTGTTTTAGAGATTCCTTCATCGCAAGGCAGCCCGCTTACACCGATGCTGGCTAGGTACAGCCCGGCCCCGAAGAGGTCTCCCTTGAAGGACAAGTCTACAAATACGAATACGCCCATCAAACTCACAGGATCTGTGAAACGCCCGCGGACTCTCGAGATTCAAGACTCATACGCGACAGTCGGCAGCCAGAGCCCAAGTCAGCGGTCGTCACCCCGCCGGCCACTACAACCTGCCAAGAACGTCCGCTTCATCACGCCACATCCCACGGCCAGTCTGGTGCCCGTGGAAGAGGAAGAGACCGAAGATGAGGAGAATGAGGAGAACGCGCGTGAGATCAGTCCATCCCCTCGAAGGCCGCCCAGATCACCTCTGCGTGAGATTGCGGATTCCGAGGATGAGTCAGATGCGCTCGACATCTTGGACGAGGAGGCCGAGGGGTACGATGCCGTCGGCGAAGAAACTCAGTTCCAAATGGATGAGCTTCTCACCTCATCGGAAAAGGAAGCCACCAGGGAACTCTCCCCTGCAGAGGAAGGTGACTCGGATAAGGAAAACGTCACCCCTGCTGCCAGCGAGGAAGAGGAAGAAGCTACGGTGATTCTATCTAAGCCATTCGTTCTACCAAAGCTTCACCATACGAACTCGGCGGAGTCGGATCGCAGGGATACAGTGGAAGTCATCACTTCTTCACCAGAGCCGACCCGGAGCAGTGGCTCCAGTGCCCCCAAAGCATCTGACGAGACGGTCGAAGAGTCCATCTGTGAGACCCCAACCAGAAGCCAAAAGACGCCCAAGGCCAAGAAGACGGGCAAAGCTCCGGAGGAGACACCAAAGACGCCGCACACACAAGGCCTCGAGAGTCAACGAATCTCCCTGGACACAATTCGCTCCATGGCTCCTCAGACGGACAGATCTGACATCTTCATCTCAATACACCCAGAACACATGGACAACATTGTGGCGGGCACCAAAAATCACGAGTTCCGCGCCTACAAGATATCAGGCACCGTCTCGCGCATGTGGTTGTACATCACCAAGCCGGTTGCCGAGTTGAGGTACATGGCTTGTATCGGCGAGGCACAGGCGCCTGGCGAGATTGACGACGACGGCATCGGCAACGCAGAGTTCAACCAGCGCAAGTTGCCCGGCGCCAAGTTCGCCTACCAGCTGCATGAAGTGTACGAACTGAACGATCCAGTCTCGCTGCACGAGATGCAGGAGCAGGGATGGCTCAACGGGCCGCCGCAGAAGTACAACTTCGTCCCGCCAGCAGTCGTTGGTCATCTGATGGCCAACCTGCGGTGCTCGCTGTTTGGCGGCGAGGATGAAGAGACGCAGGAAGATGAAGAGATTGTTTCTCAGCCAGAGATTGGCAGAAGGGAGACATCCCGGACGTCAGCCGATCTCACAGTGTCTCAGGAGCTGGCGGAGCAGATCCGAAGCGACATTGAGCACTCGAACGTACATTCATCCGAGGCAGATATACTGGTCCCGGCGAGCCAGACGCCAACTCGCAGCCGGAGGGCGTTTGGCACAGAGCTCTTTCCCAAGCCCGCACTCCCTCCGACGCCTATTAGCCGGCCACCAAACCCCACGCCTCGACGCGCTATTCGGCCCTCCCAAGCAACCACCGTAAGCCAGGCGTCTAGTCCTTCACAGTCACCTCTCAGATCTGTCCCGCGCCCGGCTCAAGCGGGTTCCAGCATGCCGATATTCATCGATGACGAGGACGACAGCCCCATCCGGCTGCCGCTGGGGACCATCCAGCTGGATTCGTCCCAGCTTCTGACCAAGAGCCAGATGCTGCCGGACAGCTTGCTGATGGAGGAGGAGAGGGAAGAAATTGTGTACGATTCGGAGCAGGATGACGAACTTTGAGAGATTAATCATTTGTAACTTGCGGTGACGGGATTGCTTCAGCGATGGAGTTGTATTGTTGGCTTATATGGCACTGGACAGGGTCGGGAAGGTAATGGACATTACGGTAAAGGTACCTTCGCGGGATAGGATTCATGGACTTGCTTCACTTTCAACTATCTTTCTTTCTGCATATCTTCTCCAGAGTGCATCAACCCAGCCTGACTTGCCGCCACATCCTTAAACACTCCTGTAAGTCCATGCTCAACGACCCCTCCGCGGCGGCCCCGACGTCCTTAATCACCGCAACCAGCAAACTCGCCAGCGCAAAGCTCTTCAGGCTCTCCCGCAGCGTCTCGAGATCCGACTTGCGCAAGCCGCCGTTCTCGGCCCATGCCTTCCATTGGTCAAGCATTTTGCTCATCTCGCTGGCAAACTCGCCATCCAGAATCATCCGATGCAAGAGCCCTGCGGCAACGGCTCGCAAGGAACCGCTAATCGGGTCCGAGGAGACCAGGCCATGCTGCTGGAGCCAGCGGAGGTTGTGCGACGCGACGAGCGCGGCGTCCCATTTCGGAGACTGGATCGCCTCGTGGGTGCGGGTTTCCCGGCGTTGCGTGTCGAGACGCATGCGATCCCGGACTGTGGAGGCTGTTAGCGCTGCTCACGGGGCTGGCAAGGGCAACTTACGATCGTCCAGTCGCTGCTCGTTCTCCATGCGCATGCGGTCCCGCGCGGCGTGCTCTCGGTCGGCCTGGCTCATGCGCGACTCCGCTGCCATGGCGTTGCGCTGCTCGCGCATGCGGCGGCTCATCAGGTCAAGGTGATGCCTCGAGTCGTCATGCTTTGAGGCCCATTCTGGCGTCTGCGAGTCGTCGACAATGCCTAGCAGCTCCAACACGCCGCACGGTACGGAAGAGCCGCGGGCGAAGGCGAGGATGTCGTCTGGAATGCGGTAGTTCCACAGGATCGTCGAGCTCGAGGTGCCGTAGGCCGTGGCGGCGCTGGCGAACCAGACGCCCGTGGAGGAACCGGGGCGGACGCGGACGTGCTCGATGTAGAGGCTGGTGGTCGGGTGGTCGTCGTCCTCAGGGATGGCGCTGATGAGGCCGTGGCTGGAGATTTTGCAGGCTATGGGTTTGTGCGCGTTGGTTGCGACGGCGCGGGAGATGGAGTCAAGCGAGGAGGTGTAAGACGGTGCCTTTTTGGTATCTCCGGTGTCGTCTTTGGTTTCGGTGTCCCTCTCTTCTGTGATGGTGTCTTCAGAGATCTCGTTTGACTCGGCTACTGGAGCGGGTGGCAGGCGAACCCAGTACGGAGGGAGGGATTCGTGGCTCCTGGTCGTCCAGTGGGAAGACCAGCTTAACGAGAGGGAGAGATGGCCATCTGAATCGTTCAAGGACGCAATGGCGAGGGCTTTCTCTTGGTCGTCGGGACTCTTCATGAGGGTGCAACCCACCGGAGTCCATAGGCCATTGCTTCGCAATAACCTCCAGCCGTGAGGGTCCGGGACGGCACCGAGATCAAGGAGATAGCATATCAACTCGTCGAAACTTACATCGACCTGGGGCTGGCAGAGCTGGTCTGCGTACTCCACCCGCTGGGTCTTGAGGCCGATGGTATTGGTGCGCCAGTTGAACACCGTCCAGCTACCACCGGGGATGGAAGACGGATGCCGCGCGAGCGACCAGTACTCTTCGCGGTTGTCGAAGCGGTCCCACGGCGTGACGGCGTAGCGTGGCAGGTCAACTTCAATTACACGGTTCACGACATCTGAGCGAGTGAGTGCTGTTAGCCGGGCGTGGCGGAGCATGCGCAGGATACGTGAGCGGGCGGCGAGCGTCGCTACGGTGTTGTAGAGGATAGGCAGCACGCCAAGCACTGCCAGAGGCACACCGATGTAGGTGATGATGTCTGCGGAGGAGGTGCCGGAGTCGGACATGGTGCCGGGTGGGGCCGTGGTCCGGAAGGTGCACGGAGTCGGATGAAGGACCGACGACAATGGAATTCGTATGTTTTCTTGGCGAGGCTCGCGATTTAAACAAAGTCGTCGAGCGATCGATTTGGTCTTGGAAAATGCATACCCCTGAACGATCAATTCAGCCGCAGCAGCTTTCGGGAAGCCATTAGCGACGGCGTTGCCCGACCTTGCCTCTTTGGTTTAGGCATTTGGCGCCTGGAGTTTGCACCATTGTCACATAGGCAAATTGTCCTGGCTATGCCTAGATGCATAATTACTACGTCGTGTTGGATGTCCTGGCAACGTCTGCTAGCCTGGAAATGAAGGTATACAGACCTGACATAATGATTCCTTGCATTTATGTCTATCCCTCAAGAAATCGGAACTCATTCGAGGATGCACTGGTCTTGTTCGGGCTTAGGGGCTGTACGTTGAAGAGAGCAAATGAGAATGCAAGCCCACCTAGTAAACTCGCTTCTGCTGCATGTGTGTGGTACAGTTCATCTGCCTCACTGCTCATTGGCTTGCTCTGATTTTCTTGGCTATGGGTCTGGCACACCCCGCGATGATGCCGATTCTGCACAATGCGAAGGGTACCTGACAACGGCCACCTGCTGCCTGATACTGCCATCTATATAGTCGGAGGGGAAGACGAGAACATCAAAAGCGAGTATGTTCATGAGACTGCTGTCTGGTGGTGAAGAAGCTGACCACGGGTGAACGGCTCCTCAGGAGACAGATACCCTTGCCATATTATTCGCAGCGCTGCGATGCATTCTGGCACATCGCATCACCACGTCTCACAGTCATCTGGCGCATACATGTCCTTGGCTCGACTTTCGACGCAGCACCGATAGACGAAGGCAGTGGCTTGCAAGATCGCAGCATCTCGTTGAATAAACTATCGGATCCGTGTCTACTTTCCACTTAGCACTGGCCCGTCTCTGCTCAATATCTCACTGCAACCCGTCATTCAAGCCACCAAGCTGTCAACACAGTCCGTTCCGTTCATATCGTCAACATGTCAGATCCACTGGACTATAGTGTCGCCTTGATTTGCGCCATCGCCACGACATTTGTTGCCGCCCGCGCCTTTCTTGAAGAGACACACGAACCACCTGTGGCGGTCGCGCGGAACGATAATAACAGTTACGTGTTAGGCAGGATTGGTAGGCATAATGTTGTTGTTGCTACATTACCTGAAGGTGAATATGGCACGACATCAGCTGCAGGCGTCGCCCGGGACACGCTTCATAGCTTCCCAAGCATCAGGGTCTGCCTGATGGTCGGCATTGGGGGTGGTGCGCCCAGTGCGAAGCACGACATCCGTCTCGGCGACGTCGTCGTCGGCAACAGAGGTGTTTCTAAATACGACTTTCGCAAATCCATGCAGGAACAGACCTTTGTCGAGACGGGCTTTCTGAATCTCCCGCCAATACCACTACTTACTGCTACTAGCACACTCGAAGCCACGTACGCGTTGGAAGGCCATCAGCTAGACGACAACATCAAAGACGTAATTAAAACATACCCGCGGCTACGGAAGACGTACTCACGCCCATCTGCAAGCAGCGATAGGCTATATAAACCATCCGTCTCTCACATTGGATCTGGTGAGCCCTGTAGGGAAGTGTGTGGAGACGATGTATCGCTTCTGGAGCTACGCAGCGAACGAAAGGAAGACGAAGACAATCCAGCAATTCACTATGGGAGGATCGGCTCCTCAAATCAGCTGATTAATGACGCATTCTTCCGGGACCAACTTGCATCGAAGAGGGACTTACTATGTTTCGAAATGGAAGCGGCTGATCTCATGAATCACTTTCCGTGTTTAGTTATTCACGGAATATGCGACTACGCAGACTCCCACAAGAACGGAGAGTGGCATGGTTATGCCGCTATGGCGGCTGCTGCGTATGCGAAGGACCTTCTTTGCCAAATCCCATCCAGCAGAATCGAGACAGAAAGGAGAATCACAGATATAATTGGCAAAGGTATGTGCTCTCCTATTTTCTCAACAATGCACAACTAAATGGTTAAGTGGTCGAAATTTCAAATCACAACAAGTCTGTTATGAGCGAAATCAAGGTCGCGAAGAGGTCAATACTTCAAGACATCCGAGTTCAAGCTTGGCTCTCGCCCTCTGACACGTCTACCAACCGACTTCGTGCAAGAAAAGTCCGGCACCAAGGAACAGGGAAATGGTTTCTGGAAAACACTGTTTTTATGGAGTGGACGACTGGAGTACGCCAACATTTGTGGCTTCACGGGATTCCAGGGAGTGGTAAAACCGTTCTTAGCACCGCGATCCTCGATCATGTATCGCAGATACATGATCATGTTGCACTGAATTTCTTCTTCGACTTCAGCGATACAAGCAAGACACACATAGACACAATGTATCGGTCTCTCGCATTTCAATTGTACCAGCAGCAGGAAGCATCAAGACCGGTCGTCGATGCACTTTTTGCGCCACACGATAACGGATGGAAGCAGGCAGAAACAGAAAAACTCTCCAAGTGCTTGCTGGCCATGCTACAGGCTTCGGGGAAAGTTTACATCATACTCGATGCTCTGGACGAATGCGTCAACCAGACCGAGCTACTCGAATGGATACAGGGTCTTGTGTCCAATCCTCACTTTCATAATGTTCAACTCTTTGCCACTAGCCGGCCAGAAGAGGAGTTGGAACGCGGCATTCGTAAATGCATCAGCGAACATAACTGCATTTCATTTGACAAGAATCTCTTAAACGAGAACATTGGGCCCTACATTAGCAGCAGACTGGAGCAAAGCTAGACTTTCAAAAGATGGGCGTCAACCCCTGAAATACTGGAAAAGATCTGGTACGAAGTCGAACGAAAATCAGACCGAATGTGAGTCTCACCATGAAATGATGTACGATGTAGCACTGACCATGGTCGTAGGTTTAGGCTAGCTGCGTGTCAGTTGGATGACCTGGAACAAAGCCTCACCCTGGAGGAGTTGAATTCGAGACTGGATGATCTACCACGGGACCTGTCCGCCATGTACGACCGCATGATTTTGAATATTCCACCCGAGTTCAAAAGTGACGCCTTTTGTCTCTTAAGGTTCCTCATTCATGCCGGACGACCTGTGACGTTCATAGAGACAGTCGACCATGTATCTACACAGGCCGAAAATAGCCAGGTTGATGATGTTCATCGTCGACTTCTCGTGGATGACAACATGTCCTCTTACTGCCCAGGTCTGGTATCAATTACCGAGGAGTCGCGAGACGGAAAGGTTACAAAACAGGTCCAATTCGCCCACCTTTCAGTCGAGGAGTACCTGATGTCTAAAAGCGAGTTTCAACCTGCACCGACTGCTGTCAGAGTAGCCTTCACCGAAAGCTACGGCTCTTCTACTGTGGCTAGCCAGTTGTTCAGCAAAGAAGCTGTCTCTACGAAGCCGCCGTCTCTTGAGGAGAACATAAATGTGACCGAGGATCACGCAACAAGGCAGATGGCCAAGACTTTGCACAGTCACAAGCAGATCGAGAGTTCCTGTGATGACACTAACGATGATGTTAGATCCCTGATTTCGGGACTTGAAGACATTCAGTCGCAGGATGAAGCAAACCCCACTCGCTGGGAAGTCAAAGGAGCTGCAGTCAACTACCTGGCTGATATGTTGACCAAATATCCCAACCTTGGGCCGTTATACGAAGAAGCTTTCAAGAGTTTAGATGATGCGCGCTTTGTTCGGAACCACGGACGTTTGCTGAGGAGATACTATATCTCGCTGCTCTTACAATCCCCGAGCCAAAAACAGCGTATAGCTGTTGACTTCCTCAGACCAAGGTCCCATAGGACTCTCATTTCCAGAAAGATCCTCGATAACACGGGGATGGAGATAGTTCCTGTGACCCTGCCTCAAGATAATGAGCGGAACTTGATCTTGGAGCGGTTTCTAAACAAAGTTGAAACTCACTCAGTCATTCAGACGCCTGTAGCGCCAAATTTTGATGAAGGGAATGAGACTGAAAGCTCTGAGGAGGATGACGAAGAAGATTTCCACCAAGGTCTTGCGTTCGTTGATCTTGAGGATGCCAAAAGCTATTTCGTTTCTGGAACGCCGCTGATGCAATTCGAAACCGAGTTTCGGGACTTTCTTCATCCTCCCCGCAAAAGCGCTATAGACACACAAGAGGAGACGCAGAGTCAAGTAAACAAAGAGACAGAGCAGGGGGTGAATGCTGAGCCGGGTGGATGGTCACACAACATCGTCTGTTTGAAGAACAGACTATCTTCCCGGCTTTACGATACGTGTTATCCGCCAAAGCTAGGGTATCAAAGAGTTTGGTACATATGTGTAAGTGGCTAGTTTCCATGGTCTCCCTCATCGTTTCTCACAGCATCGAAGCAAGACTCACAAGACATTGCAGGAATGTGGCGACCGCATGTTTCTAGACGTCAAAGAGCTCAGCCCGGGTGGGATCCAGCGATTCCGGCAACGCTTCGCGAAAGATGGACTTGCCAGGCTGCTCGGCGCCAGCTATGCGATGACAGATCAAGACGCGACAGCGGGTGACGATTCTCGAAGCGGTATTTCTGCCCCTCCTCCTGCGCTGCTTCGATCGGAGAGAGGCCAATCTACCTCATCTACCCAGAGCCCTGGACTGAGCAATTCTCCATCAGGAAGAGGGCCGTCAACACCGGTAAACGACACGTCTGGATCTGAGGAAGTGGCGTTGCCTCCAGGACAACAACACAATCCTCAGTACTTGCTGCTGTGCGTCAACGAAAAGAGCCTGCCAGTGCTGGATCACATTGATTGCGGTTCTTTTGCCAATGATCAATACCTCTTCCAACAGATATCAGGAAGATATCGGACAATACGCGACGGATCAGCCTGGAGAATACCCTTGCTTTTCCCGCCGGTTATATGCACAACGGTGGGCAAAGCGACAGCGGTTCTTAGGCACAATGCTCCAAGCTGGTTGGAATGGATATTCCATTTCTTTCAAAAGCTGTCTGAGGCTAGTCTTTACAACATGGGCAAAGGCGACTACGTCCAGGTATATTAACAAACATCACTATGTTTTCCCGTGGAGCACTGGTGCTAACGACACGAAACGAAAAGTTCGAACTTGTTCCCATGGGAGATGAATCTAACAATCCACAACATTTCAAGTATGGGGAATATCCCCCAAATGTCGAAGTCGAAGGGAAAAGATATTTATATGATCCAGTGCCAATGGATGTCGCGATAGATGGGATCGACTTGCCGCATCTAACGCGACCTGATCGGCGGCACCGCACCAAGTACTGGGTCACAAGGTTTCCAAAAAAGCTTCGAGGCCGGTTAGAACGCGGCGAAGAAGACAGTGGCATTGTCGTCGGGTGGGGCATCCGGATTCACGAGCGCCTTAAATGGCACCTGGCTTTTTCCCTTCTTCTCGTAATGCTGTTGATTATCTGGGCGATCGTGGCCATTTATCTTGCATGCAAGTCTGACGACTCCTCGGGCTTCGGCTTGGGGGCTTTGCTTGCAGCATTTGCAGCAGTCTATCTGCCTCTACAGTATCAAACTTGGAAGGAGAAGCTTGGTTGAAACTGTCTTAGATCGGTCATTGTTGAGAAAACCACACGGGTCAATTCTTCTTCATCTGTTGGTTATAGTTTGTTAGGAAAAGAGTCATCTTCATACCTCCCTTTGACGCCGTTCTATCGTCGTCATCTTATGGATGGAGCACGCCCGAGTATCTGGTTCATCTCGCAGAAACCGAGACAAGCAGGCTACGTGCTCGATCACCGAGACAGCCAATGCCTCCCGACCGAGTGCAGAATTCCAGTTGAATTGCGGGGATGTCGCAGAAGATTATCCTCCGCAGCGCTCTATCCGGGGCGGTCGCATCTGCAAGTCGAATCACCGACATCCAGCGCAGATGCCTCTGCGCGTCGTCCGATGCCGGCAATTGACTTTTGAAGGATTCGATTGACGTCTGCCAAATGCCAAGGTGATCCCATCGTCGAACAAAAGTCTCGTTGGCGGTGTCCAATCCGAATCCTTCCAGCGCTCTCTCAGGCAATCCCGGCGAGAGTTCATCTCCCCCCTCATATTACTTGAGACGAACGCCCGGCATCGCAGCGGGTAAGGCGGCAGGATACGGGACTTCCAGGATGAGCTGCAGGCTGCAATGCACCTCATTGAGAGGGGATGGTTGCACGTACGGTGGTTGGGGCGACGACTCAGATTCCTGCTCACCTCAGCGGCTCCCCCAGAGCACCTCCAGTCCAAGAACACAGCCCCTGCCAACACTGTCGATCCGTTAAAACTCCCCGCGGGCCGCGTGTCAGCCTGTATCCCCGAAGGTTGAGGTCGGGCGAGGTGAGGTGGGGTGCTAATTTGGGTGTCCGGGGCTCCGTAGGGCACTGTGGGCGCCCGTTACACCAACAAAGGGCCGCTAAATGCAGGGGCGCACGTCTGCCAAGGCGCTACGGGGGAGGACCTTCAAAACCTCGACATTCCCGTCGTCGCAGCTGTTTCCATTCCGCGCTTCCTGGTTCAGCTAATACCAAAAAACAAAATCGGCGCAGATTCAAAACATCTCTACGCCCCTCCTGTGCGCGTGCCGGCCCACGATATCCTGTAGAGACTACTATGCGCCCAGGACACGATGCGGGTCATCTCACAATGCGCTTCTTCCGTTCTCTCGCCGTCGGCAGCCTGCTGCTCAGCGGCTTTGCGACTGCCCAGTTCCCGTCCGCGTCGGTGAATCTCACCACCATCACCTCGCCCGTCGACGGCAACATCACCGTCAGCTACAAGATCCCCAAGGGCGCCTGCAAAACGGCCTACGAGAACCAGCAGCAGTACACGGGATGGGTCAGCGTCCCGGGGCCGTTCCCGGCCAACATGTTCTTCTGGTTCGTCGGCGCCCGCGAGCCCACTGACACCATGACGATTTGGCTCAACGGAGGGCCCGGCGTGAGCTCTCTGTTTGGCATGTTTACGGAGGTGGGACCCTGCGAGGTTGTCGAGAAGGGCTTGGACAAGTACGACACTATTGCGCGGGAATGGGGCTGGGATCGCGCCTCCAACATGCTGTTCATCGACCAGGTAAGCTCCGAGAACTCCCCTCGTCCGCACCCGCATGCTAACCGCCCAGCCCAACCAAGTCGGCTTCTCCTACGACATCGCCACCAATGGCTCGATGGACCTCTTCACTGCCAATCAGTCCACCCCGCCGCAGCCTGTACCGAGCGGACAGAACCCTGCGACATTTCTCAACGGCACGTTCAGCTCGCTGAATACGAACAACACGGCAAATACAACCGAGACGGCCGCAATGGCGATATGGCATATGCTGCAGGGCTTCCTCGGCGCTTTCCCTCAGTACAACCCGCCAAACAATAGCGCGCTCGGCATCAACCTCTTTGCGGAAAGCTACGGTGGAAAGTACGGCCCAGTGTTCTCAGATATCTGGGAGGAACAGAACGACAAGCGCGCGAACGGGACGCTGTCCGCTAACAAGACGCTCGAGATCCACCTGACGTCTCTCGGCATCGTCAACGGCTGCATCGACGACCAGATCCAGCAAGAGTACTACCCCCAAATGGCCATTAACAACACCTACGGTTTCAAAGCGATGAACGATGTCCGCGCCAGCCTGGCCAACGGGAGTCTCTACACCAACGGTGGCTGCTTGGACCTCATCCGGCAGTGCCGCACAGCTAACTCCGTCTACGATGCCAACAACACTGGTGCGGTGAGAGAGGTGAACGACTTGTGTTCTAATGCGTATAATACTTGCTTCACAAACGTCATGCTGCCGTACGCGGAGGCGGGTCGAAGTTGGTATGACATTGCTCGCGAGAACCCAGACTCGTTCCCCCCAAGCACATACCTCGAGTACGTGAACACGGCAGGATTCCAGCAAGCCATTGGCTCCGTCGTCAACTTCACCATGACCAGCCAGGCGGTCTACAGCAGCTTTAGTGACACTGGCGACTATATGAGAGGTCCCCTGATCCCGAAGCTGGCTGGTCTCCTGAAGCGAGGCATCCGCGTTGCGTTAATCTACGGCGACCGCGACTACATTTGCAACTGGCTGGGCGGACAGGCTGCATCTCTCAACCTCGCCTGGCAGGCCGGGACCACGTACGGGCAAAAGTTCAGTTCCGCCGGCTACGCCCCCATCATCGTCAACGATTCCTACATTGGCGGCGTCGTTCGGCAGTTTGGTAACCTGTCGTTCAGTCGCATCTACCAGGCCGGCCACTCGGTCCCGGCATACCAGCCGGAAACGGCGTTCCAGGTGTTTGCGCGCGTCATCCTCGGCACGTCCGTGTCGACGGGCGACCAGGTCAACCTGACCACCTACAACACCACGGGAGACGCCGAGGCTACGCACACGGACAAGCTGCCCGACTCGCCAAAGCCGACCTGCTGGATTCGCTACATGGAGTCTTCTTGCTCCAGCGACCAGAAGAAGATGCTGCGAGAGGGGGACGGCACCATTATCAACGGCGTACTCTACAGCGCGGAGAGCGACTGGCCCCTCGCTACGAAGGCGCCCACGTCGACACAGCCTGCCGCTTCGTCGTCCACGACAGTCCTGACGGGCGTGTTCACGGCCACGTCGACGCCCAAGAGCAGCGGTGCTATACACGACCCGCGCGACGCGTTTGCTGCCTTGGTGGCATTCTTTGCTGGCGCCGTATTACTGGGAACGGGAAGCATTTAGAAAACATGGACTCACTCTGTCCGTGACGGGTTCGGAAGGGATTGAAAGGCATCGGTTCGGCGTTTGGGTTTGGATAAAACAGAAAAAAGGCACGCAGCAGTGCCCGCATAGTGTTGCTCATGGCTTATGATACCCCTAATGATAGCTAATAGTAACTGAAACCAATCTTTGGTATCATAATTCATTGGGATGACGGCAAGAAATCAGACAAGACGAACCCATGAAACGGCCTCAGATACAGCAGCTCTTCTTCATAGCGCCGCACATGGGCGACGCATACAATGAAAAGACAAGATCCCGTAGGAAAGTCAAGACCTGGACGGCTTCAGTTAGCAATTGTTTCCAAACCACGACTTTCAAAAACAACAAAATGAAGCGTCAAATATCAGTATGGGAGCCCTGTCAAAGGCACTATCATCAAAGCATATGGCTATGGAGACCGTCGTGAAAATTTTATGATCATCACATGAGACGCTGGGGAGTGGGTTCTGAGAAGAAGTGTATGCTTACCGAATGGTCATGCCCATGGATGCGAGCATGCGAGAGATCACTGCACTGGTGATCGGTTAGCCACCTGCATTCTCCAGACTTCCAAAGGCGTTGCATGTGAAGTGTCTGATCAGAATGACTGGTAGTCAACGTTTCTCAGCTTCGCCGTGAGGCTCTGACATATGCTTGTCTTTTGGTTTATCGTTCATCAGGAGAACGGAGCCCGGGAGGCTGGGTGTGGGGGAATGTGATGGAACGTACCCATTGGTATGGTTCCGGTGGAGCCTGAGAAATGAAAGGTCAGCGATGTTCATGCACATCTTGATAAACAAATGGTTTTGTGAAGCCAGTTCAGTGTTGCATGAATGGAAAGGTATAAAAGTTATCCGCATTGGGTAGATGCCCAAATCAGACTCGTCATCTAATAACTCATCACGTAGGCTGGGGGATGAAGTAAGAAGTGACCTACCATGACAACACCGGAACTGCTATCCGAATCAGAGGCGATGCTCAGGACTTCTGATACTGTTGTTGGTCAGCCTCTGCTGCGCAAAGTCGTGGCCCGACAAGTTGAGTGTGCGGATCGAGGATCAGTGGGCGAGGTTTTCTAGGCCTGCCGCAAAGTGGCTTGTCTGCTCATGTAGCGAGCCCCATTGGGTACTCTCGGAGCCCAGTGCCATTTCATCATACGATGATGAAGGGAGGGGGAAGTGGTTGGTATGTACCTTGTCGGGAAGCTGGTGTCCATGTTAGCGACTGGTCAAGGTCGACACGAGGCACAAAACAAGAGACAGTAGGGGGAGAACAGTCAGAAACAGCCAGTTTTTATCGTCAATGGATTTCAGCCGGTAATTCCAACCGTGCAAAGCACGAAAAAATGAATCATCAGGTTCTTAGGGAGGCGGAAGAAGAAAATGCAAGAGCTTACCTTGGCAATCAGCCATATGAGAACAGCAACGTAGCCATGATGTGTCCGGCGTCAGAAGAATCTGCATAAGCCTGCGTCGAGTCAGCGTCGTGTCGTTGCAAGATGTTGAGCTCGAGACGCAATGCGAAATTGTCAAGGTCGATCAGACTGACGTGTAAAACAGAGTTTTCATTCCAGTGGTCAAAGACTCTAGTTTGCGGTGTTTGGTGTGTCATCAGAAGAGATTGGGAGGCAAGGAAAAAAGCGCGACGGGCGCGCGAGCGTAGACTTACCGGACCATGCAAGGCTGCGAAGCCGCTGGAGGTGTTGTTGTTGAAGAAGGATCGTGAGAATGGGAGGAAGCGCGAGTTTTTTTTTTAAAGGTCGACGAAAAATTGAGCCGCCCAATGTGGGGAAGAGCTGGAAAAATCCGACGCCCGCGGTCGGCCACGACCCACTTGAGCTGTT